GCACATCAATACGTGCCATTGCCAGAAGGTTTGCTGTGTCTCCCAGCACAATCTTAAGAGCATGGAGGAGATTCCAGGAGACAGGCAGTTACTCCAGGAGAGCTGGACAGGGCAGTAGAAGGTCTAAAACCCATCAGCAGCACCAGTATCTGCTCCTTTGTGCAAGGAGGAGCAGGAGGAGCACTGCCAGAGCCCTACAAAATGACCTCCAGCAGGCCACTGGTGTGAATGTTTCTGACCAAACAATCAGAAACAGACTTCACGAGGGAGGCCTGAGGGCCCGACGTCCTCTAGTGGGCCCTGAGCTCACTGCCCGATACCGTGGAGCTCGATTGGCATTTACCACAGAACACCGGAATTGGCAAGTCAGCCACTGGCGCCCTGTTCTTTTCACAGATGAGAGCAGGTTCACCCTGAGCACATGTGACAGACGTGAAAGGGTCTGGAGAAGCTGTGGAGAACGTTATGCTGCCTGTAACATCGTTCAGCATGACTGGTTTGGTGGTGGGGCACAGACCTATACAGGCTAGACAACGCCACCCTGACTGGCATTAGGCGTCGGGATGAAATCCTTGCACCCATTGTCAGACACTATGCTGGTGCAGTGGGTCCTGGGTTCCTCCTGGTGCACGACAATGCCCGGCCTCATGTGGCGAGAGTATGCAGGCAGTTCCTGGAGGATGAAGAATTTGATACCATTGATTGGCCCCCTTGCTTGCCTGACCTAAATCAGATAGAACACCTCTGGGGCATTATGTTTCAATCCATCCGACGATGCCAGTTTGCACCTCAGACTGTCCAGTAGCTTAGTGATCCCCTGGTCCAGATCTGGGAGGAGAAACCCCAGGACGCCATCAGTCGTCTCATTAGGAGAATGCCCCGACGTTGTCAGGCATGCACGTGGGGGCCATACAAATTACTGAATACCATTTTGAGTAGCTGCAATGAAATTTCAGCAAAATTGACTAGCCTGGCCGCATCATTTCTTCACTGTAATTTTTGGGTTGTCTTTGAGTTTAGCCCTCTGTAGGTTGATAATTTAAATTTCCGTCAAATGATGTGACATCCTTTTGTTCCTAACACATCACCCAGTCCATATCAGTATAAATAAACACCACTTTTTCCCCCATTGAGATTTGATGCGTTGTAAAAGTGTTCCTTTAATTTTTTGAGAAGTGTATATTATTCTCAACATTTATTGTTCTTTTTAGGCTTGTTTTCTTCATAGCACTGGGCTAATAGCTAAAAATGAATATTAAATAAGCAATTTTTGTTGTTTACTTTTTATGGTATTTTGTGTATTTGAGTTATGCATGTACTTGTTTTCTAAGTTAATTAGCTATTTTTTATACGAATAGGGGAGAGATGCTTTTGTTTTTTATTGATTATTTCATTTAATCGTTATTCTCTGCCTGAAGCTGGTTTTAGGAACAAAATAATAAAATAAAAAATGTACACAAATATGTAACATTTGATGCCTTCATAAAGCTACAAGTACAAAATACCCGTCATATGCGGGAATTATTAGCATTGAAGTGTATTATTTTTATTTTCTTTAGTATTTTTCTCGTTCTTAAGTAAAGAAGAGTTATATTGCAAAATTTCGGTCAAAGAATAGACAAAATGTAGTACACTTTGGGTAAAAACACGAAACACTCTGAAAATAAATTTACTGATACATTTATTCAAAAGCAAAATAAAACAGCACTACCTTAACATAGCTTTAATAATCCCAAGAAAAAATGCACTTTAAACCAAACTCCCATGGATTTTAAATTCCACAGAAAAAATAAAAGTTTTCAAAATTACGGTTTTTGAAAAATTGGAAGACAGATAAAAGAAATTCCACAAATGTATGGAAGAAAATGCAACCAAGACAAATCATCTTTCAAAAAGCCAATCAAATAAAAAATAATTAACTTTAAAACTATATAAGAAAAATTAAGAAAAACACAGTACAGTTTCTAAGAAATGAAACATCATACTGTATAATTTAACCTAGAGTTTAGGAAAATCGAAACCCAGCAGCCAGAAAACAGAGGCAACTTATCTACATGATGGATAAAGTAATGGAACAGATGTTTATTGTTTACAATCCTTACAATATTTGAGACCCATTGATTATTTCGTTGTTTTTTTTTAAATATATTTTCTGGAAATAAAAATGTAAGTATCAGTAAAAAGAAAATTTTTAAAAGAAAGAGAAATACCTTTCAGGGTACAAGGGGACTGATGCTAAGTAATTAGCAAATCAAACAAATTTGTCAACTTAGAAAGGTTTCTCTTACAGTGAATAATTATTCAAATTAAAAAACATATTTTTTACATATTCATTAGTAGGCTGATGCATTTCCCTAAAATGAAAGGGTGAGGGGCATGGTACATTCTGGACAAGATATATTTTAAATCTTCAAATTAAACTTAATGACTGGGTGGCGCTATATCACAAAAACCCAAAAATATTATCTCTGACTCTCAAATTGTTCTTTGAAAAAGGAATGCACATATGTTTTTGTAATATAGTAAATTATTGCTTGTCTCATCTCCAATCCTAATTTTTGTTTTCCAGGATCCTCTAATAACAAATACTAGAAACTTTTACAAATTATCTTTAAAATGATGGAAGGTATCTACACTCAACTTCTCACATTTTTTGTCTATTTAAACAGCGGGGGATGGTTAATATTAATTTAAATTGTTTTTTTTTTTTTTTCCTGGTAAGAGTAAGGTAGCTCTTTGAAAAATAAATGTTCCAACAATTTATTAACAACAAATCAGAAATACATTACAATTTATCCAATGAATGTTGATCAATTAGTGATGGTAGAGAAGAACACAGTGGTGTTGATAATGATTCCAGTGCAAAGATTATCCTTTGACCTAAAGGGATATAAAGATAAAATATTAAACAGAACACAACCTGAGACATATAAAAATAGTTTTATTAAAAAAGACAAAAAATCGTCTACAGGTATCTACAGGTTTTAAGCATAACGCCATTTGGTCTTTATTTATTCCATTGATAGATCTGCATTACTCTTTATCTAATTCTAAGTTATCACTCAAATTCATACTAAATATGTCAACTTTAAACTTAAAGAATAAAAAAATTTTTTTTTTTTATTCCATAAAAAAAAAAAAACAGAAGCACTATCTTAAGCTGCTCTGATCTTTACAGGAAACAACTTACAGTGAGGATAGCTCTCTAGTTTCCATTTACTTTTGGAATCATTTCCTCTTCCACCTCACGGTTGTCAATCGCTGTAAAATCAGAAATGATTACAGTTTAACCAATTAAAAATTTTACTATCTAAAAACACGTAAATAAACCATCTGAACTGCATTAGGAATTTAACATTTTTAAGTAAATTATTAGTTTTACTTACGACTTGGAGGACGCTTAGCTGCAAAAAATGAAAAACATTTTTTATTTTGTTGAGTAACTAAATTTATTTACTTTAATGTACTTTAGTGTTTCTTTTCTTTACAGTTTATATGCAGTACTCTTTATATGTTTGTAACAGAAGTAAAAGATGCTTAGTGAATAATTTCAACCTTAAATTTTATTTCTACAATTCTTATGGAACAGTGCATGATTAGTATATTGTGTATAGTAACATAGATTTAAAATTAAGAAATATAATAGTAAACCTACCACATGACAGTTTCTGTCTAATAGTCTTTCTGAAAATGTATCCAACCACACAGACAAAGCTGACGAGAACAATCACTGCTGTTATGATGAGGGCCAGTGTAATGATATTACCTGTGAAATTAATTACAAAGAAAAAAAATCTTATTATACCTTATTATAAATCATAAGATTTTTTTCTAACAAAACAACAATTCTATGATGATTGCTTATAGTATAATTAGAAAAAAAACACCTGCTCTATTGTTTTTATTAAAATTTGAACTTATAATTTGTGGCCATGAATTACTTTGTCTTTCACAGCTATTCATTTTGATAAGACAATATTTTTATATCTGGTTTAATAAAATGGCAGCTTCAGATAT